TGAGATAGACAGACAGACAGACAGATAGATAGATAGAAAGAAAGAATGAGATAGACAGACAGACAGAGACAGACAGATAGATAGATAGATAGATGATAGAAAGAACGATAGATAGATAGACAGACAGATAGATAGACAGACAGACAGACCCACAGACAGACAGATAGACAGATAGATAGATAGATAGACAGACAGACAGATATTTTTATTTTATTATAGGTATGTTTTTTATTATTTTTAAATTTAATAATGTTCAAAAAAACAAGAAAAGAAAAAAACCCCAGAAAAAATAATAAATTACACAAATTAAAAAGGTCACCATATGCAATATTTTTTCTACATACAAATATTATGTTCATGTATCTTTACGTTTCAGTCTGTATGTACATTTTCAACTCAAAAGCTCACACTTGTAGGTAAATAATGAAGAAACTCATGATGTTTCGTGACGTCATTTCGACCGCGTTGGAGCAGGAGTGTGACGTGTTCCAGGAGCAGCTGGACAGAGAAGAGAGAGAGAGAGGCTGCTGACTCTGCTGATGAGAGCTGAAGCGCTTAGTGTGACTCCTTCCAGTAAGTTTGACTTTTACAACTTTTCTTGTTTCTTTGAGCAGTTTTGAACATGGGTTTGACCATCTCAAGCGTCTTTTCTCGCTTGTTTGGGAAAAAGCAGATGAGAATTCTCATGGGTGAGTTAGCTTTGATAAATGGCTATTTTGTGTATATTTTGTTGGCATATGTTTTTATAGCTCTTTCTATACAAGTCATGTATGAATGCTCTTATGATCTATAGATGTTGACATGAATTCAAACTGTTGGTAAGTCAGTAAAGCAGTCGCTTGTCGCTGTACAGAGTGTCTTTGTCGTTTCCCAAGAAATAGGAAGTTATTTATGCAAACTGAAGTTTTCCCGTGTGTTTGACTTGATTTGATTCCTCTTCTTCTTCTTCAGTTGGTCTGGATGCTGCAGGGAAAACCACAATCCTCTACCAACTCAAACTGGGAGAAATAGTCACAACTATACCAACTATAGGTAAGTAATAGAAGAGAACTATGGAGACTTGTTTCCGCCAAAACTGTAATTACGACTTTTTGTCTCACAATTCTGTCTTTTTCTTGCAAGAATAATATTATTTTTCTTAAAATATAAATGTATTTATTTTTATTTTATTCTGTGGCACAACCATATAGAATTGTGAGTTCCAAATAAAATTCTGAGGGGAAAAAATTGAGAAAAATGTCAGAATTGTCAGGTCATATTTCTGAGAAGTCGCAATTATAACTTTTATTGACAGAAACAAAAACAGAATTGTGAGATGTAAATAGACTTCAGAGGAAAAAAGTTAGAATTGCAAAATATAAACTTAAACTTGTGAGGGAAAAAAAGCCAGAATTCTGGAAACATGAAATATTATATCTCACCTATATATCTTGCAATTCTGACTTTATAATTGTGAAAAAAAAATCCTAATTGCAATTACCTTCTTATGTTTTTTTTATCCTGTGGCAGAAGTGGGCTCACATAGATAACAGATCATGTACATCTCAACAAAGAGAGAATATATGCTTAAAATGACAATATTCAGATACTCTATGGATTTTAGGTTATAGTAAGTATATTTTGAATGGACAGATATTCTCACAAACGCATATATAGGTCGTTTTTTTGTTTAAAATCAAATATTTACCTTTGAAAATGTATTTTGCGTAAAGAAAATATATATATTTTTTGATTTCCATGACCCGTACGTGCACTTGACAGGTTTTGTGAATGATTTATTACATGAATCTCATCTTGATGTGAACAACTGCAAAGATCTGCATCTCTTACATGATATCGCACCCAACCCTGTGTGCTTCCTTTAGGTTTTAACGTGGAGACGGTGGAATACAAGAACATTTGCTTCACCGTGTGGGATGTGGGTGGTCAGGATAAGATCAGGCCTCTTTGGAGACACTACTTCCAGAATACCCAGGTAAACAGAAGCAGGACTAAGATAGTCAAACAACAGTGGAGTCGCAGCATTCCAGCAGGATGAAATGCTCATTGTGCCGTGCCTGTACTGATTGAGTTTGATCGTCCAGCCTTGTGAGCGGCTAGAAAAACAACTACGGGTGTGTAGGTATAGTTCGGCTGGATGCCGTGGATGTGCTTTGTATGAGGATGTTGGTGTTACTACAAGGATTACGTTGAACTGGAACGGCCTTTACTAGAGTTTGATTTAGAGAACAGAACAGTTTCTCTTCTGTCCGTGTAGTTCTCTTTTTCTTTGCTGACATTTTTTTATCAATAAGCTCGTAAGAGAATATTTAACATTTGCTTGCTCTTTATTTCCTGAATCGTTATGAGTGGATAATTTCTAAAAGATTGCAAAAATAAGTGTTTACAGATGATCTTGAGGTCATAGAAACTCACTGACTGTGACATAAAATAAGAAATTTGGCCTCAAAACCAAACTGTCAGTAACTAGTCTAACTTGTGTCATGATAGTACACTCTTAAAAATAAAGGTGCTTCAAAAGGTTCTTCAAGCGATGCCATAGAAGAACCATTTTTGGTTCCACAAAGAAGCATTCAGTCAAAGGTTCTTTAAAGAACCATCTCTTTCTTACCTTTTTGTAATCTGAAGAACCTTCTTTCGCCACAAAGTATCTTTTGTGAAACAGAAAGGTTCTTCAGATGTTAAAGGTTCTTTCTGGAACCATTTAGACAAAAAGGTTCTTCTATGGCATCGTGAGGCACCTTTATTTTTAAGAGTGTAATACCTCATTTTTATTCATATAAATGCCTAAAACATTATTATTCTGTGCAACAGATATTATAGTTTGCATGCTGTAAAATTAAATAGGTCATAAAATGACGAATCAAATGTTTTAAGTGTTATATTTATAATAAGGAAGCAGGATAGATACAATTATTTCTAGTAAATGACAGAATTGTAATTTTTTGGTCAACTAGCTCTTTAAAAAATGTCTTAAATCGTGGTACTAATGTTGCATACACAGAACAAAATGAAAAAAAAATAAAATAAAAATGTCCTCAGTATGTTCGTCTTGTTTTCCAATACAAATATCGAAACTTTCTTAAATCAAGATATTTTTACTTGAGACGCAAAATGAAGATATGAAGTCGTTTTCTTGGAAATGAAACAAAATTGAGTTTATACTTAAAACAAGAACAGATATCTGAATTGAAAACTAGTTTTTCCTTTGAATTAAAGTGTATTTGTCTGACTCCATTGGCAGATATTTGTTCTTGTTTTAATCATAAATCTTGATCAGTTAAACCGAAAACAAGACTTGCATAATTTTGCTTTTCAGTGTATTTTGGTTTCAGAATCTTTAGACATTTGCACTAAAAATCAAGACTGTACATAAGGTACTGAAAAAGTTATTTTCACAGTCTAGTAAAGTTTTTGTCCTGTAAAGCTCTTAAAGTTGTATTTAAATTTACCTTCCAAAAACCTGCAGAAGTCATGGAAATCTTTAAGAATAGATCTTGTGCTTAATATTTTTTGACTGAAAGTCATTTTCACTCGTGTTGTGTTGTTTCTTCAGGGTCTGATCTTTGTCGTGGACAGTAACGATCGTGAGCGAGCACAGGAAGCAGCAGACGAGCTTCAGAAGATGGTGAAGAAACCAGATTAAAAACGGCTCTGGTTTTATCGGTGTACCTGCAACACGCTTCTTTTATTGTGCACAGTTGTCTATGTGAAGTAGTTCTGTTTCAAACCACCGTAAATATCTGCTCATATTCTGTCTGCAACAGCTTCAGGAGGATGAACTGAGAGACGCCGTTCTATTGGTTTTTGCAAATAAACAAGATCTACCAAACGCCATGGCCATCAGCGAGATGACAGACAAACTCGGCCTGCAAGCACTCAGGAGCAGAACTGTGAGTTATGCAATTATATGCAATATTATGATAGTTATGCAGAATGATAAGCTCCATTTAAAAAACATAGTAATATTGGTTTTTGGTTATTAAAATGTATACATGGCTCTAGATGTGTACATAAACCTGTAATTAATCATATGTTGGTCAGTATGTGCACTACTGGTCAAACATTTGGAATAAATAAAATTTTTTAAAAAATGTTTTGGAACATCATGCTCACCACGGCTTCATTTATGAGATCAAAAATATAGTAAAAACAGAAATATTGTGAAATATTATTACAAATTAAAATAGCTGTTTTCTATGTGAATAAATTGTAAAATGTAATTTATATAAAATGTAAAATATATAATTTTTTTCATTCAATTAAATGCATACTGTATCCGTCTATTGGTAAAAAATGTTTATATTGTGCTTTTCATCAGTGGTATGTCCAGGCGACCTGTGCGACTCAAGGGACGGGTTTATACGAGGGATTAGACTGGCTTTCCGAGCAGCTCTCCAAACGCTAAACTGCACTTCCTGTCCAAGCAGGATGTGTGCTGTTCCAAAGGACATGATTAGCGGAGTTGATGTGGCACATTTTCAGTTGATCGCTACCAAAAATCTGCCTGCTGCTGATGTCAATCTTCAGCAGTGCTTTTTAACATTTTGTTCCCTTTTTTAGTTCATTGCACCTTTGACCTCCACTGACATTTCTCCCAGATTCATTCCACTTGATGCGTGTAGCCTTATAGTCTTCTGTAGATCTGACCACAGTATGAAAAATACTAGATTTGTTAAGAAGCGCTTGCAGTACTTCTGGGTTCTTGTTACAGTAAGCATAAACATCAAGCATTGTGTTAAAGCGATAGTTCACCCAAAAATGAAAATTCTGTCATCATTTACTCACCCTCAAGTAGTTTCAAACCTGTATGAATTTCTTTGTTCTGCCGAACAGAAAGGGAGATATTTTGAAGAATGTTTGTAACCAGGCTGTTTTGGGGCACCATTGACTTCCATAGTAGGAGAAAAAAATACTATGGAAGTCAATGGTGCCCCAGAACTGCTGTTTCCCGCATTCTTCAGAATATCTTCCTTTGTGTTCTGCAGAACAAAGACATTCATACAGGTTTGAAACTACTTGAGGGTGAGTAAATGATGACAGAATTTTCATTTTTGGGTGAACTATCCCTTTAATAATTACAACTTTTGTGTATTTATAAAAATGCTCTATTTTTGCTCCCTCAACTTGATTTATTCCATTATTTTTATTCCGAACGGCTCATTCCCAGGCGTTTGCATTCCATACATCCAAGGAAATGTTCTCAGAGAAGCATGCGTTTAATAAATAAAAGATTATTCTTATAGTAGCACACTTAAGAGACTGGCAATGCATTGATGTTAAGCATTAGTTTTAATGCATGAGTTTATATTGGGAACTAGTCAGATGTTTGTGTTGTAAATAAGCAGCCTTTTTATGTACGTAATCACAGTTGCCTTAAACGTGCTGTGCTTTACTATGTGAATGCACTCGCCCGATACGCTTTTGATTTAGCATTTCAGTTGAGAACAAATCAGTGCAAATGTTAAAGACATAATCAACTGTTTTTTTCCCCAGCTTTTGAAAATATTCAAATGTCCTGGTGCAAGGAATCGTCTAGCTGTTCCCTTTTTTAAAAATGTATTAAAACATTATGAATAAAGAGTGAAGCAAATAAAAGTCTGAAATGCATCATTTGTATGGGCGTGTATATTAACTAAGGCTCTCAAAAGAAATTCACTCATTATTTAATGCTTTAAAGGGTCATGAATAATTATTTGAGATTTTAAGAGTTATACATACAGGTTGCACATAGCTGAAAACTGATGGTATTCGTGTTTATTAAAGAAATATTTCACCCAAAAATGAAAATGTACTCACCCTCAGGCCATCCAGAATGTAGAGGAGTTTGTTTCTTCATCAGATTTGGAGAAATGTAGCATTGCATCAGTGTCTCACCAATGGATGCTCTGCAGTGAATGGGTGCCGTCAGAATGAGAGTCCAAACAGCTGATAAAAACATCACAATAATCCACACCACTCCAGTCCATCAATAAATGTCTTGTGAAGCGGCATGATTTAAACAAATCCATCATTAATGCATTTGAAATTTAAACCGTTGCTTCCAGCTAAAATTAGTCCATAATCCATAATGCTTCCTCCAGTGAAAAAGTGGTCTTGTCTGAATCAGGAGAGAAATCTGCACAAACCAAGCACCGTTTACAAGCAAAAACAGTTCTGAACAAGTATGTTGATAGATTTTGATGTGAGAGACAACAAGAGATGGACTTTTTCACTGGAGGATGTGTTGTAATGAATTATGGACTCATTTTAGCTGGAAGCAACTGTTTAAATTTCACATGCATTAATGACGGATTTGTTTCAAGCATGCAGCTTTTCACTTCTCCAGATGTAAACTGATGGTTACTTGTGATGTTTTTATCAGCTGTTTGGACTCTCATTCTGACGGCACCCATTCACTGCAGAGGATCTGTTGGTCAGCAAGTGATGCAATACGAGCTACATTTCTCCAAATCTAATGAAGAAACAAACTCATCTACATCTTGGATGAACTATTTCTTAAAGGGGAAACCGGTTATTTCCATTCACTCTTCTGGTTTGAAAAGCAGAGTTACAGCAACATCACAAAATGCTGAATGAATTTAAATGCAAAGAATTTAAACAGTCGCATATTGCAAATACATCATTCAATATTTTCAAGTAGGTGTCAATTCTGGCATTTGATAAATCTCACACAATAACTCATCCTCATCATACATTTTAATTTGTACAAATGAGAATGAAGCTGTGTGATAAATATAAGCACATTGCTGAAATCTGATCATTAAAAAGCTAAAATTGCTTTTGATGAAATACGAACTGTTTGTGATTGTTTCACTTCCACTTGAGGTCACACACCAGCGCGATGTGATCTGACGGGTGCGAGACGCTCGGCAGGGCCACGCAGGTCGTGACCTCCTGAAGGCTGGGCAGAGGAATCACCTGCTCCACCTGCAGCACATGCGGCTCCACAAAAATATAGTCCAGACACCCCTGGAAGCCTCCGACGTAGTTGGTGAAAGCTGGGACCCCACAAGCACTGGCCAGCTGGAACGGGTTCATCAGTCCCACCTGGATCTGCTCTTCTGGTCCATTAGAGGCCCAGTCGTCATGATTCTCCGGGACGGATCCCTCACAGACGAGCTGGAAGAGACCGGAGGAGGGCGTGCTGTTGAAATCACCAGAGAATAGGAGTCCGGCTCCGGGATGCTTCTCCGTCACAATCTGCTTCATGTGTTTGAGGGCCACTGCAATCTGAACCAGTCGAACGTTTCCCCCTGAACACACAGCAGACCGTCAGAAACTGTAACGCAAACGTCAATATATTCACACTGATTCTCACCTTTAGGGTGCCAGTACAGGTGCGTGTTTCCCACACATAATATCCTTGACGGGTCACATAACGACTGCAAGACGGTCACCTGAGAAATGAGGGTAGAGATGCATTTTTGTTAGTTTTCCTCAAAGAAAGATGATTTAAAGTATTAAAATGAGCCATAAAACTAAAAATATTTAGTTTTAATTCAAGAAAATAATTAAGAGGAAAAGTAAAAATAAATTTTTAAAAATGTAAAAAATAAAAATGTTTTTTGATTAAAATAAACAAAAAGATATGGCTTAAAATTATTTAAAGGCATCGATTAAAATAAGCCAAAACAACTAAAAGTCAAGATATTTTTTATTTTGACAAGAAAGAAATACTAGAAAAATAGAAAAAGCGGTGTAAAAAAAAAAGAATAAGAGTAAGATAAATAAAAAATTACATTAAAATAAATAAGACATTTAAATGGTTGAAAGACAAAACAAAGAATAAAAAAAATCAAGACAGCTAAAAATCAAGATATTTCTTATTTTAATTCAAGAAAATATTGATTAGAAATAATTAGAGAAAATGTGTAAAAAATAAATAGATAAAAATAAGTTTAAGATATATAAAAATGAAATTAAATAAGATATGATTTTTAAATGATTTCAAGACAAAACAAGGAATAAATCAAAACAACTAAAAAGAAAAATCTACATTTTTTTAATTCAAGAAAATATTTATTCAAAAATAATTCGAGAAAAACTGTAAAAAAAAAAATTTGATAAAAGATCAAGAAAACAAGTAACATTAAAATAAATGATTCAAAATATTTAAAGTAAAACAAAACAATGATTAAAACAAGGCAAAAATCTAAATATTTCTTAAAAAACAAAACAGGATTTCCAGTCTTGAAAATCCGAGCTATACGAGGTAGCTGTGGTTATGATTTGTGGTATATGAGGTTAAAAATGAGATTTTTAGACCTGGAAAAAATGGAAATTGTAATGTTGTAATGTGTGTGTGTGTGTGTATATATATATATATATATATATATATCTGTATGTATGCATGTATATATACATATATATATATATATAATAAAAAAAATATTTTTTTACTTATGCCAAACTGTAAACATTTTATTTGGGTACCATTCATATCTACCAAGTCAAAAACAACTGGATAAGTCTTGAGGCCTCTGTGAACAACTGGATGTCCTGGAGTCAACAAGACCCAAGTTCCAGCGAGATACCTGCAGCATCGTGGCCCTGCTTCCGATCTTCTCCTTCAAGCTGGGGCTGCTGCACACCTTCTCCAGCAGCTCCCGGTGAAGAGCATCAGTCAGCAGAGCCTCGCTCAGCATCACATCATACTGCTGGAGCAACTTCAGCTTAGACCTCCTAAAATACGTGGCCAGGCCTTCGTGCTGCCTGTCCTTGATCCTGAAAACCCCGTCCAACCCAAACGCATCCAGCGCAGGAGATAAACTATCGCCGAACGCGCCTTTATCCACCTCCTGGAGGCAGACGATGTCCGCGTTGTAGCCCGACAGCTCCTTCTTGATCAGATTCTGCCTGTAGTCCAGGTCTAGAGCGTACGGCGCGCAGTAAGGGTACAGCACTGTTTTGGAAAGCTCGGTTTGAGCGTAGATGTCAGCTAGGATGTTATAAGACACAACCCTCAGTGAAGACTCATCTGTGGCCTCCTGAGTGAACATGTGTCTGTTATCAAAGCTGCATGCTCCTGGCCCGGCTTCGACCACCCCTGAAGACACCAGTTCCTTAGGTTCCCCAAACCTGGATCCGTTCCCTGGAGTGCATTTCAGCATCACCTTCAAACCGATGTCCAGATTGGATGGCGTGAGCACGCGCTCACATCCAGCCTCCATCCAGCCGTCAGGAGAGCCCTCCTTGAACCATCTGAACTCAGAGTCCCTCAGCTCTCCGAACTCCAGCTCCAGCTTCGGACAAACCGGAAATCCGGCCATCAGAGACGTCGGGAGCTCGCACACAGTGAACGTCGGAGGATTCAGCTCCACTTTATACTTCAAGCCCCCCACGCGCAGCACGGCTCCGTCCTGCCACGCGCGCGCGTTCACGGTGTCCTCGGGCACGCGCGTCTCGTTCACGCGCAGGCTGATCTCTGGGGCACGCGCTTCTGGAGTCTCGCTCGGTCTGGATTTCTTCGCTTTGTTTTGGCCCTTGATGAGGCTGTTGGCTATGCGAGCCAGGGCTTTCCCCAGCGGCTCCGTCTGCTCTCTCAGCATCTGTTTGTTGCTGCCGTCCAGATTGAAGGAGATGGTCAGTTTGGACTCGCTCGGCACACATCTCACCACACATCTCTCCATGTTCGTATTAAACCGGGCGCTGAAGAGGTTTCTGTGTGTTGAGATTGAAGAAGAGGGGATGTAACGGAAAAATAGTTTAGGTGAGAGTGACAGTCGGTTCAACATGAGCGCGGAGAAGAGAAACATCCGGTGACTGACTTCCTCCT